GCCAACTTGGCAGGTGGAGGGAGGAGGCGGAGGAGAGGAAACTACCTGAGCAAAGGAAGATTGCTCCCCAAAATAGCATTGGTGATCCGTAGCTCCTTTCCACATCATCCTCCAGGAGGGTAGATCCCAAAGAAAAGCAGTCCAGATACTATTGTGTCAAGAAGAAGACGCCTACCAGTCAAGTTCTGGTCTTCGTGGCTACGTGGATGTAAATATGCCATTTTCTTGGCATCAGTACCTAAGTAGTTTGCATTGTCATCTCCTTGGAGCTTCTTTTTTTTAAACTTCCCCACAGCCCTGGAATGCTCTGGTGGCTTCTCATCCAAGGACTCATCAGACCTGATGCTGCCGATCTTGGAAACTTTTGATAGGCTTGATCAGGTACGGCCCTAGAGCAAACCAGGAACGCAGAAACTGGCAGGGAAATCAGAAGCACCCAGCAGGAGGTGCGTGGGGTGGTTGCCATGTTCTGAGGAGGCAACTGAAGCTTGGTGACATGGATATCATTGCTAGCTGGTGGAGGCTGTTGGGCTTCTTTTTTTCTTTCATCTCCTGGAGATCAGTGACTCCTCTTCTGTTTGGGCGGGCAGGGCTGTCTGTCATATTCCCCCCACCCTCCAGGAAGAAGGAAAAAGCCTCGAAAGCTAGAGAGAAAACCACAAGCTTTAAGGCACTGATAAATCAATAAAAGCCCAAGCACTAACAGCCGAGTGATAAAAAATTCATTCATCCCGGCACTAGCATGGACCCACAGTGTTGCTTTATTCATGAGATTGTCTCCCTGCCCCTGTTAAACCTTTAATTTACCATTGAGAATTACAGGCTGGCCAAGAAATATTTCCTTTCTCTTTCTCTCTGGTTTCCCACTGCCTTTAAAAACAAGAAAAGAGGGGGGAAAATGTGTTAATTAGGAAGAAAGGACTGGGTGGACTAATGGTCTGAATTGCAATGAAGTGGCTTCCTGTGCTAATTCAAAGCTTTACTCAGAACCCTGAAGGCTGGGAGCTGTCTCTTCAGGTGTTTTGAAGGAACTGCTTTCCTATGTGGAAGGGTCCCAGTTCGACCATTAGCACTTCTAGGGAAGTAGGACTGGGGAAAAAAAACCCACTTAAATCCCTGGATAGCGGATACTGCCAATCCATGCAGGCAATACTGGGTTAGAGCAATGATCTGATCCAGTACAAGGCTGATCCTTTGATTTACAGACAGGGCGCGTGGAGGCATAGGTGAAAGAGGAACAGAGCTGAAGGAAAAAATAAGACATGTTATCTGATGTAGGTATTCCAACCTTCCAGTTTTCTCTATCTTTATTCCAAACCCTTAATCCTCTTCCTTCTCTGCTATAATAAGCAGGAAAGGTATGGGTCAGTTTGGAAAGTTGAGCTCATGCTGTGGTGCTTACAAGGTGGCTGCTTCAGGAGGCCTTCTCTGTTCATCAGCTTGGGACAAAAGTTATGGCTGAGCTAGGTATCCTGGCTGTGAATCTCCATGAACCAAGAATGCAGGTTTTCTTGCCTTCATGGAAGCCCCAGAGAGCTGCACTGGAAGTAGACGTTATGGTCCAGCGTGGAAACGCCAAGCAAAGACACTTGGCTCCTTTCCCTTGATGAGGAGAGTGCCAAAGGACAGAGAGAGGGTGCCAGAAATGGTTCACTCATCAAAACACCATTATTAGAATTAAAAGCGAGGGGGGAGAGGGGAAAGAGCCCCAATAATTGCTCAAGCCAATTTTGGGAACGCAGATAATAAAGCATGAACACCATAATGAAAACTGTGAGCTTGCTCACATGGGAACCAAACGGGAAACAATTCTCAAGAAGAACAGTTGCAAAAGGAACAAGCTGTCAATGATTGGGTCAGGGAGTGGACTCTGCAGCTGTTGGCCTCCTCTTCCAAAAATGGCATATTTTTTGCTGCTTTTGTGGTGGCTTCAGGAAGGCTGTCCAAGCAGAGAGATTTTGAGGTGGTGAGTTTTACAGCTGACTTGGAAGGGTTCAACACACACCCAGGGTGAATTGCTAGGGAGAAGAAGTCCTGGCCATAACATGGAGTTGTGAACTTCTAGAAAGTTTCTGCAGAAAGATGGAGGTTGGTGGACTCCCTTCCATGCTGCCCTCTGGGCTGTGGTACAGTCCAGTTTGGCAAATCTCCATTTTTGGAAACCGCTGATAGATTTTATTTACAGTATTGTACCAATGCGATACCGTGCAATACAACAGCTGGCCTTCTTCCTTTGCTTGTAATGTTCTCAGATACATTTACGAGAAGCATGCTATTCAATAATGTGGTTATTTTGGATCTGATCCAGCCTGCTCCTCTATTATTATGTTCTCTACTACCTGGAGGAAAGGTGACGAGGTCTCTCGTAAGCGCCGCGTGGCAGCTGTTCCGTTTTTTTTTACAGTAAAAACGTACATCTCGAAGGCCTCTGCCCATTTGCCTTAATGTGGCAGGAGTAGTTGGGCCCCTGAGATTTCTGGACTCCAGTCAAGATGATCCTGCTGCCTCTGCCGATGCCAGCTCCGTTTATTCACGGGCAAGGCAGTGGGGGCAGGGGTGAGCTGAAATGAACAAAAAACGTAAATTGACTAATTAGCAGAAGTGGGAAAGGAACCCGAGGCTCTATGAAAGGTAAACCCAGCTCTGAAGCAGGGGGAGGAGTGGATTTTCCCAGGTTGGGAAAGTTCCCCTTTTAAGTAAGATTATACTTTTAAATTACCCCTAATCAGAGTAAGGTGACTAATGGTTAAACACATTGCCTGCCTGCTGGAAAGACAAATAGCCTATATTTACTTCCACCTTGAGTAGCGATGTCTGGCTGAGTACCTTCTCTCTCCTGAGATTTCTACTGAAATTACTCTGGCTTCCAGTGAATTATTCAGATGAAAGGGAAAGCTAAGATACAGTGTTTGGTCTGTTGGCATTCTGTTATAGAACATCTACGTTTCTGAAGCTAAGCTCTGTTGAGCTTTGGTGGGGAGAGCAGCCACCCATTTTCCTGCTCATATAACAGCTGCTGATGGGGATTCAAAGATCCTCCCTCCATTCCTTTTAGGATACTTTAAGTGTACAGCAGACGTTGACTGGGCTACCCTACAAATACAAGACTGTCAAATAACTATATGGGGTGAAGGGGCACCTAGGAGTCATCAGACACCTCCCACTGGTGATGCAATGCCCACTCCCACCAGGGATCACAAGTAATCTACATTTTCCATCTCGGCAGTGTCAGTTTCAGAATAATGGGGTGGTTGAACCGGGGTGGAGGGAATCAGCTGCGTCAACAACCCTTTGAGCATTAAGCCATTAATGTTTTTTTAACTGAAGGTATAAACATTGATTGCATCTTTTGGTTTCCAGCCATTAACGAGCGAGACAGGGCGTCTCTGTGAGTCTTGCCCTCGGAAGGCTGCTGAGGAGGAAAAAACGACCTCCTCCTCCTAGACTCTTGGTTTGGTTTGATTTGCGCACTTTGCAATGCTCTGTCTTTTCTCTTTTGCACTGGGTTAATTTTATTATGGCCCAAGCATGCCCTTGTGGGATTAGATGGGTGGTTAAAAGGAATCTTGACTGTTAATTTGGCAGCAAGATGTGACTTCTGTGTTTCCGTAAAGGTGAGGCTAGCGATTAACCCTTCCGATGGCCAGAAAAGGGAACGTGGCTAAGATCTCAGCTTCCATCTCATCCTATAATGTGGAGAAGAGCAAGCTGCGGTCTGCAGGCTTCTAACGTCCCTTGAATCCCCTTTGAGACTTGCATCCAGCAACGTTTGGAGCACGATATCTTGCCTGACCCTATGCTCTGCGTGATTCTTCAGTGTTCATGAAAATGCATGTAGATGCAGATCTGCTAGGGAGAGAGAGAGAGAGAGAAAAAAAATTCAGCCCACTCCCTGCACAGCTGGGAATCAGGAGCAGAGAGAGAAGACTTGGACCAAGCTGTTCCTATGCAAAACATGGTTGTTCTTTTCTAAAAATGCATAGTGGCAATGTGTGCATAGGGTCACGCATACTCAGTTTATATTATTATTTACTTTATTAAGTCAATATATATTTTAATAACAGAAATTATACTTATTCTCAAGTATGGGAGAATAATTTAGTCCTGAAATCAGGAAGGCACAATTATTGATGACCACAAAATGTGACTGCAGATCATTCCTTGAATTCACCCAAGTCCTTGCTCCTGAGCTTTAACTTGTGTAGGCAACATGTGTGATTGGACATTGCTTGGCCAGGCATGACTAGGCTAATAGGAATTCAACAACACCTGGAAGACTACACGTTACTCTCCAGTTGTCTCCACTTAATTGCTGACTACTGAGGCCCCGGTATGATCATCTGACTTTAGGTTTGCAGGAGCAGAAGCCTTTTTAGGATTTAAATCTTAAATTGGCAGGGACAAGGGAAAGATGGAGAATTTTCCATGAGAATGGAGTTCTTCTCCTTAATGGGTGGGGGTGGGG